TAGTATAATTTACAATTCTTACAGTTCTTATAGTTCTTACAGTTTTTATAGTTCTTATAGTTCATACAATTCTTATAGTTCTTATAGTTCTTACAGTTCTTACAGTTCTTATAGTTCTTATAGTTCTTATAGTTTTTATAATTCTTACAGTTCTTACAGTTCTTACAGTTCTTATAGTTCTTATAGTTCTTATAGTTTTTACAGTTCTTATTACTAGTTGTAAAAAGCTATATAAACCTTTCCTTTTCCCTTTGTCTCAGATTAGATTTTACCTCTGCAATTTTCTTAATATTAGAATTCTCTTAGCATAGAAACTAATAAATAGTCTTGTATTATCAATATTATATTTTAAATAAAGTATGATCTTTGCTCTTTTATTAACTTTATAATGAACTGCTATAGTGAAGTAATATCCTACCTAGATACTATTAAGAGCCTCTCTTCTATGTCTTATATTACTTGTATTGTATTAAGAAGACTAAAACTTGCAACAATATATTGATATTAAATGTAAAATTATTCAAACCTTTTTTTAAAAATTAGTTTAGGTTATATAAAATAAGAATTTTTGCTTTGATTTTGCTTATTTTTTTATTTTTTTTTATTTTTTGAAACTTATCAATATTATTAGCTAATTTTTATATGATATTACTTCAACAATTTGTATAAATCTTATTTTAATTGGCTAAAAAGATATGTAAGATCAGAATATTAATTTTCTTATTTAGGATATTCTCTTCTGAACTATAATTTATATTCTAACAGATCAGATTAGGTATTACTTAACTAGATCTTCATATCTATCTGATTCATAAAGATCTAACAAAATATAGATCTGAATATGATCATTTATAAATTTGAATTAGATTCTAATTAGATCTAAATCTTTTGCAGAATACTATTTAACTCGATCTGTATTTTTTGTATTGCTAGATCAAGTGTTAACTAGTATGACTATTGAAATCTATACTACTTTATCTAACTTAAGATTTCTACTATGCAGGTTTTCTGTCTATAGATCCTATTAAGATTTATTTATATAATATTACATTCCTCTGGATATTATATCACACTTCTAATATCTAATTGATATTGATATAATATGATTTACAACTCCAGAAGCAAACAAAATTTACTATAAATTAGATACAAAGATCTAAGTAATTATTCAAATTTGTTAACAGTGAGATTTGAACCCTAGACTTCTTACATGGCAGTCTGATAACCTAACTACTACACTAAGATCACCAGACCTGAGAACAGTAAATTATTAATAGATTGGAAGAGCAATTATAATAGAGAGAGACTTTATTAATAAGATAATATTAATATCAACTATATTAATTATAACAACTATGAACAATTTGTTATATACAGGTTAGATAAAAAAAATTAGCATAAGAATAAGCAAATTGTGATTTTCCCAAATATCCTGTACGGAATACAGCTTACACGCATAATGCAAAATAGAGATTACCTTGTAGATTTCTTAAAATTTATTAATGCAGACTGGCCTGAATTAGAAGACATATTAGAATCATGCGCATTTTGCATGCGTGGATCTTGCGCATGCCTATCAATAAATGTAGTAATAAATATGTAACAAAAATGTAATAGCAGAACAATAAAAAAATAATATAATAAAATGAAGTAATGGAAATATAATAATATTTACATAATAGAAAATATAAGAAAATATGTAATAATACAGTAGTAAATAAAAAATATGAATAACCCAAAATAACTGTAAGCCAGCTGATAAGAGTGTTCTCAAGCAACACCCTCAATGTTATTGGATAATAATCGAGATCGTGCACAAGTATTACAATTAATTGAAATAATCCTTATAACAATTTTGCTGAATTTCATGAAAAAAATAAGATGGTTGCGACTATCATTTTTATTTTTATTTTTATTTTTTTTTTATTGCGATGAAGAACTCATTAAATTATTTTCCACTAATTAAAAATCCTCTAAGTTGGCCAATGCGGCTAAAGCAGGCCAGCATTAAAAATTAATTTGGTCAGCATTAGTTGGGCCGGAATTAAGAATTAGGTGCCGGCATTAAGAATTAGTTTAGCTGGTACTAGGGATGGGCAAATAGTAAAATTTTCAACTTTTTCTGCGCAGCCTGCGCATAACATATAATGGAGATATAATTCTATTCCAGTTGGCCAGAATTATGCCAGCTGGCTAGCTAGCCTGAATTTTAAAATCACACTGCGCAGCCTCTCAAAAATTCAGCGCAGGCTGCGCTGTGGCCCATCCCTAGCTGGCACATATAAGATAGTGATAGGCAAATCGCGGTTTTCGCAAATATTCCGCGCGGGATGCGGCTTACGCGCGTGATCCGCGCGTGAGCGCGGGATAGAGATTATATCGTGGGTTTCTTAAAATTTTGCTAATGCGGGCCAGCTGGCCTGAATTAGGGAACATATTAAAAATCAAGGGATCCAAAAAATCACGCGCATTTTGCGCGCGTGATCTACGCGTAATCTCGCGCGGATCTTGCGCGTGCCCATCACTAGTATTAGAGATGTACCTCACGTGAGATAACAAAATTCTAATAGCACCCTAGCGTTACCAACCTAAAAAAATTTCGCTACTGGCATTAGCGTTAGGGTTTGGGTTTATTTTGTTTTTATTTTATGATACACCTGATCTTGAATTTTAATTCGAAATTTTTTAGATTGGTAACGCTAGGGCTGTTAAATTCTAACACTCGCAATTTCACATGAGATAACAAAATTCTCACACTCGCAACTTCGTGCAAGATATCAACCTTGCGTGAAGTAAAATTATTCGATAAAGATAATTTTAATAATCAATGAGTTATAAATTAAACTATATTCTTGTTATGTCATATTATTAATAAGTTTTTTACATGACTCGCAATGTAACTTTGCGTGAGGTTGTGATTATATGCTAATTTGACCTCACGCGAGGTACATCTTTAGTACTATAAAGAAAAATCTGATACTACGTATTAGCCTGCTGCTTAGCCGATATTTTAACTGCATTTAAATTAAAAAATAATGGAGAGCATCTATAATAAGGAAATTTAGGCTTTCAATACTTTATTTCTAGGTAGTGCTTTCAATTTTCCGTAGCACTTTCGTCTTTCAGTAGCACTTTCAGTTTTGCAATGCATGATATTTGAAACACCAAAATATTTTTGGCGGACTTATGCTATCCTCTCCATTGTTTTTTTTTATTACTCTTTTTTATCATGTTTATCATAAAATGCGCATTTTTCCCATCATTATTAATAGTGCTACTAGAAAATTTACAATTACAAAATCTTACGTACATATCTGATATCAAGTATAATACTGTACACTAAGCCCCACATCTAAATACGTAAATCACGAAATTTTTAACCACTTTTTCAGATTTATTCTAATTTCTCTATTCATTAATTTTAAAGCAAGGAATGATAGTATACCCCACCCAAGTGAGATGCGGAAAATATAAATTAAACATAAAGAATAATCATTAAAACTATAAGTATGATTTAAATTTTCAGTATTAATTTCAACCCATCTATAAAAAATAAAAATGAATAAATCAATATTAGATATGGTAGATAAAATTATTACGATGACATATAATACGAGTATGTAATACATACAATCTGGGAGTCAATTCTTTAAGATATAAAGCTTCAACAGTCCATCGTGGTGCTGAAATCTATTTAATAATGTATTGATAAAATTTTTGTTCTTATTTTATAATTTAATAAAATTAAAAAAAAAATACTTACATCCCATAACCATCTCATAAGGTTATAACTATCTTCATATTTAACATCTTGTAATCGAGGAGATCCACCACTGAAAACTAACCCCCATGCAAGCGCAAATCCTGTACCAACCAATCCAAACTTTTCTTTTGGAACAACAAGTGATATAAAATAACCTATTTTTCAAAATCATACAGTTAAATAATAATTGATACTGTATAATAATTTTACATAAGATTTTAATTATATTTTTCTAATAGATACATACCCATCATCCATGCAGAAATATAATTAAAAAGAACAATTCCATATATCTCATAAAATTTAGCTTGGAATGGATAAAATATGAT